GTCTACACCACGTACACCCGTGCGTGGGTCTACACCACGCACACCCGTACGTGGGTCTACACCACGTACACCCGTACGTGCGTCTACACCACGAACACCCGTACGTGGGTGGGTCTACACCACGTACACCCGTACGTGCGTGGGTCTACACCACGTGCATCCGTACGTGCGTGGGTCTACACCACGTACACCCGTGCGTGGGTCTACACCACGCACACCCGTACGTGGGTCTACACCACGTACACCCGTACGTGGGTCTACACCACGTACACCCGTACGTGCGTGGGTCTACACCACGTACACAAGTACGTGGGTCTACACCACGTACACCCGTACGTACGTGGGTCTACACCACGTACACCCGTACGTACGTGGGTCTACACCACGTACACCCGTACGTGCGTGGGTCTACACCACGTACACCCGTGCGTGGGTCTACACCACGTACACCCGTACGTGGGTGTATCTACACCACGTACACCGTACGTACGTGGGTCTACACCACGTGCAGCCGTACGTACGTGGGTCTACACCACGTACACCCGTACGTACGGGGGTCTACACCACGTACACCCGTACGTGGGTCTACACCACGTACACCCGTACGTGCGTGGGTCTACACCACGTACACCCGTACGTGCGTGGGTCTACACCACGTACACCCGTACGTACGTGGGTCTACACCACGTACACCCGTACGTACGTGGGTCTATACCACGTACACCCGTACGTGCGTGGGTCTACACCACGAACACTCGTACGTGGGTGAGTCTACACTACGTACACTCGTACGTGCGTGGGTCTACACCACGTACACCCGTACGTGCGTGGGTCTACACCACGTACATCCGTACGTACGTGGGTCTACATCACATACACCCGTACGTGGGTCTACACCACATACACCCGTGCGGGGGTCTACACCACGTACACCCGTACGTGCGTGGGTCTACCCCACGTACACCCGTACGTGCGTGGGTCTACACCACGTACACCCGTGCGT